CCCTCCGTACACCCAGCACTACCCAGCAAATGAGCCGACGAGCTTGTGGGCAGGTACAGAAGCCCTGGCAGGCGAACAAGAGAAGAGATTATTTTTGCATATCTTCTGTGTATCTCTAGGGAATTCAGTGGCGTTCCTGATCTCGAATGCTTGTAATTAAGAGGGTGGCATCTTTGGGCTGGAGAATTCCGGAGAAAATCATTTTCACAGCACCTAGAGGGCTTGATGTCGCGCTTGCTGACAGATGGGAAACCTTTATGAAGGCTCTATAACCTTTTGCCCTGGGAGACTATACTTTTTGACACTGCAGGATTGGGAGGATATAGATGTTTTTACTCGAGTGATAGTGTGGTGATTTTTTAAAACAACGAGTAATTTATTAAAGTATTTTAATGAACTGTGCAAATAGCGAAAACCTGACAAAGCTTGTGTCACTGCTGAGAGCGAAAACATAACTATTAACCAGAGACTGTTTGCTTATGGGGACTTTTATATTGCACAGAAATAAGATATAGGAAAATACTAGCAGATACGATTTCATGTTTCATCTTTGCAGATCATGACCTCAGGAATGTCATGCCACTTCCATTAATCCTTTTCTCGACTTAAAGAAGCCTGTGAATATGAATAAAGTTGTATTTAAAAAACGATAGAAAGAGAGAAAGAGAAAACAAGACTCATTCACATTCCGAGTCTGCTTTCTGTCTCACACGTATTACATTTCACAAAACAGATAGAAACAATAGAGCTTATTAAGAAAAACTTGTTTTGAATGGCAAATTAAGCATAATGAAAATACACACGTTTTTACAAGTAGTTATTTTGTCACCGGTTGAATATTTTAAACCTTTTGAAAGTACGTACTTATCTCTGCAAAATGTTTTTCTTTTAGCTCATTTTCACCATATCACCCTGCTACATATATCTATTTAAAATGTTTAATTCGGTCAGCTCAGAGACCTTGATAAGCACAGCACCATGTCTGCGTCCAGACCTTAACCAATGGGGGTGCCCTACCTCAGCTATTTATGAGCAGTACCAGTGCTGGCTTCCAGGCTGAAGAGGCTGATGTACGGAGCAGTCCACAGTATGGCTGCTTAGGAAAAAAGAAAGTGATTATTATATTCGAGAAGCTATTCGTATTTAACACAAATACATTTTCAGTGCAGCATAAATCATCAAAATAGATATAATAATTTGTTACCTGTTTGGAAAATGATGTGAAATACTCCAAAAAGCTTTTAATGAAAAGTAAAATTGACCTAGTGAAAAGTCAGCTCCTCCTTTTCATATTTATGTACAGTTTTAAAAAATTATTATAGATAATAGCAAAGAAAGGCAAGTTTTTATCTCCACCCGCCATATTTCTAAATTCAGAAACACGGGAAAAAAATAATATACTTCAAACGAGGGCACAGGAGTGATCTTATATTTTGATTTATATTGTAAATCCATTAAATCAGCATTCCAGATTTGCACAAAGTTGTGAATCTAGTGTTATAAAATCTCTTCAGACATAAAGCACTTGGATATGGAGCATTAAGGTGAACTGCATTTTTCTACTTCTTAGGTATTGCAGTGATCTGTGAATTTATTTTTGCAGCCTGAGATGTCAGTATGCCACAGAATCATGAAAATCTCACCATCTGTATGCTCATGGACAATCTCATCAAGTACACTCAACGACAGACTTAGAATAACAAAATATAAATGCTATTACTACTGCCTGGCCATGCATGCACTCAAATCTATTTTGAATAGCATTCAACCTGAGTTATCCTGCTGCTTACCTTAGGCCGAAACCAATCTAATCCTTTTCAGTGTTTGCTTACTCGCATGAATCTTGTCATAAAACAGGCACATGCTATTTGAAATAACACTTGTTAAATTAAATGGGAGGTTACAGAGAGATGCATGTAAGTTCATTTTGCCGACTGCTGATCCACAACCCAGTGAAGGTTCAGGAGTCAAGCAATGGCTTCACCTGGCATCTTACCTAATATGCTGGGCAGTGTCCTTCTGGATATGTGTTACTTGTCAGTGCCAGGAAACAAGACTGTTTTAGTTGGAGCTCTGTTACAGCAGACACTACATAGTTTAGATTAACTCCTTTCAGTAGTACAGCATCAATGTGTTATTCCCTTAACATAAAACATACAGATTATGTAAATCTGTAATAAATACTATTTTGAAGTGTATAGTAATCAGAAATCTTTCAGGGCAGGATGGAATGGAAACTGAGAAATATTGGAGAGTAAACATTCCAACGCTCATTCCTCTGCTTCTCCCTGGCAGAGTGGAGCACTCGCTGTAGCTGGGCTGCCAACGCTCCAGCACGAGGGTTTGCCCGGTGAGGCCCACAGAGCATGGACTTTCGGGGAGAGCTAGAGCCAAAGTGATCCCACGCAAAGCATTTATCCTCTCTCTGCAGACCCTGAAGCCCTGGTTGCAAATGGGAATAGCTGTTCCTTGTCTGAGGGAAGTTGGCCCTTTTCGTATCAACTCAGGAGGTCAAATTTGGTATATGTGGTCATTCAGGCTCGCAAGGCCAAGTGATCCGAGAGGCAAAAGGCAGCGGTGGAAGAGAGGCCATACAACTTGCTTACAATCTGTTTAGAGTTCTGGACTCTAGTGACTGTGCAGAGCTAAGCAACGGAGCCCATCACTAATTGGCACAGCTCTGCATTTCCCTCACCTTTCAGGCCTGGTCTGGGGTTTTGGCGGAGGTTGTCTCTTACTAGGGAACACTGCTACAGTCCCGGCTGTCCTCTTGCAGGGAAGAGGGAGCCGGGATGACAGCCTAAAGAACCCACAGGACTTGTAGGAATGGCTCATCGCCTCTTCCTCTTGCGGGGCGCACACTGACGGGCTCTTGGAAGCCTGGGCACCAAGGGCGAGATCTGAAATCTACCAGCGATACCCACAAGCCGGCCGGGTCCCCCGGCGCTGCCCGTCCTCCGCACCGCCCCGCCGGAACTTCCCTGGGTACCAGCCCTGCCGGGTGCGATGCTGGCTGCTGCGAGGGGCCTGGCTGTGCGGGGCTTGCCATGCGGCCACAGAGAAGGAGGGATCGCGGCAGGCAGGCGGAGGGAGGGAAACCAGGGAGGGAGGGAGGGAGGGAGGGAAAGAAGGAAGGAAGGAGGCCGGGCTGATTAGCATGCAGCAGCGCTCGCAAGCCCGGCTCCATTGTTTTAACACCTCCCCTCTCCTCCGCGCCAATCTGTCACCGTTCAGCAGGCGAACGCTGCTGCCTCGAATGCTGCTCTTCTCAAATGAGACGGATAATTAGCTGCCCCGCACGAATGGCGCACTCTTCTCACCCCTGATTGCTATCACCTTCTTGCTCCTGGCAGTTTTGACACCTCGTAATCAGCCTGCTGCTTTTTCTCTTTCCCTATTTCTGATTTTTTTCTCCCCCCCCCCCCTTTTTTTTTTTTTTAAATGCAATCCCAGTTGCCACTTGGATTGAGACTCCTCTGTTGAGTTAACCTTGTATGATTGCGGGGGAAAGGGGAATGTACGGTAGGGAGGGAAAGAAATCGCCTCCTCTGAGTTTCATCTGCTGAGTGAACCATGGGTGGGGGGGTAGGAGCATCTCGGCTTGATCCTCCAGTGCTTTTGTTCGTGAGAGGGAAGAGCCTCTCCTGAGCATCCTCTGAATTAACGTTAGCTCGGGTGAGGAAGGATCGTGCGTAGAGACTCCTCTGATCAGTTAATAGAGAAAAACCTGTCTTTCTACTGAGTTATCTGTTTAGTTAAATTCAGAAATACGAGGAGGGGATTTTAAAAGTAAATTCACACTGCCAGGGACCTCCTTTTTTTTTTTTTCCCCCGGGTAGACAGGGAAGGCAGGTAACTTCTGAACCTCTTAGAATAAATTCATGTGTTTCATGGGAGTCAGAAGAACGCTCTGATTGGAGTGCGAGGTGGCAGAGGGAACTTCTTCCCTTCCAATTCCAGAGAAATAAGAGATCTCAGCTAATGCTCTGGTGATTTCTGAGAAATCTTAAAAAAACAGAGGACTCGTGGAATCTGTCATAGGAGCATTTTCCTCTCCTCTAACAAGCACTGACAGTCTAATTACTGGAGCTACGAGCAGCTGTCGAGTTAGCCGGGGAAACAGAGCAGCTACATGTGTTCTCCCCGGCCGCCGGCACCGAGCTCTTGCACCGGGCTGAGCGGGTCGTAATGCCCCAGCCCGTCCCTGGGCAGCCGGGGGGTGGTTTGCTTCCTTCTGCCTTCCCTTCGGGTCGGAACGAGAGGTCTCGCTAACGGCGGCCGCCGGCCCCGGGAAGGACTCCGCCGGCCCTGAGCGGCAGGAACTCGTCAGTGCCCCTTGGCATAAGTCTGCTGTTCGGTCCTTCCCCTCAAGTATTTAGTAATAATTTAGTATTATTATTTTTAATGAAATCCCACCTCCCGTTTGGATTCAACCTCCTCTGCTGAGCTGAGCTGGTGAGGAAGGGGGAGCGGCGGGAGGAATGCTGAACCTCCTCTAGTGAGTGTAATAAAGCAGATGTCCCTGCTGGCAGCAGCAGCCTCCTCCAGTAAAGTTGTATGAGTGGGGCCCGCTCAGGGACCGCACTCGCCTCCTACTTCAAGCTGCTCACAACTGCTTAGCTTGGTATTTATTTATTTATTTTTAAACCAGAGTGGTGCCCCTCGCAGTGGTTTGATGGCCCAGCCTAACCGGACACCCTCAGGCAGCAATAGTTTTAAGCATGCAGAATTAAACAGCTTCCTAAGACGCCGCACTAGGCAGGAGCCCTCATAGCGGGAGAGGGATGGGCTCTGCGTGAGACGAGGCTTTGGACAACTGTCTGTGTCGTCTTGTCGTCCAGCCCCCTTCCCCCGGCCGCAGAAGCGGGGGGGAGCATGGCCCTGCGGGAGGCGCGGAGCTCTGGCAGCCTCCACCAACAAAGACCCGCGGCCCCGCGCGGGGCTCCCTCCGCGCCAGCCGAACAGCGTCCGCGCACGGCGGGGAGAGGAGACACGACGGCGACGGACACACAGAGATGACTTTATTTTCTTTAAAGGTGACTCGCAGTTTGTTCAGTTCTTAATAACGTGAGCTCCTGAGTTCGAATTTCACGGTTGAGAGGACAAGTCGGCTTTGTGTCGGGCTGGCTGGAGATGTGCGAATCCCCATCTCTCCTCCCAATCCTGGAACTTCTGTCTCTCCCAGGAACCACCCCCAGCCGCGCTCGCCTGGGAGGTACTTCACACGCTGCACGGCGGGCCCGGGGATGAACGTATCCTCTTCTGCGCGGGATACCGCCGGGGTTTAGAGCTGTTAATAGTAACAAACTCTTTCTCCAGGTCATGGAGAAGACAAGCCCTGCGCACTGCTGTTTATTACAGTACACTCTGTTGACAGCCAGTCACAAACATGAGATGTTTAAAATAGAGGAAATAATTTTAGAAAAATCAATTTCTAAAAATGTGCAGGTGTTAATTCTTCCCAGAAAGTGTCACCTGCAAACAAATCTTTAAAACGAGAAACTGTTGTGTTTTGCTGCTATGAAAATATTAATGCTAATTATCAAATATCAGGACTAAAACCTATACGCAGGTCAAATGCAAAAAAATTCTAGTTGCTATGATCAAATGAAATTACTTAGTACCCCCCTTTTTAATCTGATCCTAATAAACCCAGAAAATGTGCAAACTTTATCAGAATACAGTGTTTCAATTAAACACAAATTTAAATTGCATTGAGAAGGCCACGAAGCTTATTCTAGTTAAAAATTGAGTCACTGAGATTTCAGTGATTATGTTTTTCTTTCTAGGCTGTAACAGACTTCAGCAATCCTTCATACCAGACCAGAAGGAAAGGTAAATAATCTTTGGTATTCTTAGTTTTAGGGAAAGTTTAATCCTTTCTCACTTTATCCCTCATAGTAATACAACTTTTTCCGTGGGTGTATTTTCACAGATTATTGATAGAAAGGCACACAAAATAATATTTCTTTTTTTTTATAACATGTAACAGATATCCATAAAATTGCTACTGATAGATTTTGGCAAATGGGTAATTTATGTGCTGTGTTTGATTACTCTCTCTAGTAAACAATTCATCTGGGAGAGTCAACCATTCATTTATGTTACTAATGAACAAGCCTACTCTAATTTTGACATACCTGGCATTCAGTTACTGAGATGATTTTACAAGAATCTCAATTAAGAGGTTCGCTACTGTAAGTTAAATTTGGAATTTTTGTAAGAGAAATGAAAAATGGGAGTCTACTTCTCTTCCTGTTTACTTCAAGGAGAACATAATCACATCACTGGATAGTGAGAAAAAACATCCTAGCATTACACCAGTTTCCCCAGCCAGATTAAGGCATTAATTCTGCAAATCTACACTCATAAATTAAAAGGAAAAAAAAAAAACAAGGAAAAAGGAGAAAAAAAAAAGAAAAAGGTGTTTAACATCACTCTCGAAGGCAATACTGAAGCAAAACAAGCAATAATGTGAATTACAATATTGAAGTGACTGACAGTTTCATGTTACCTTGTCAAAGGACAATTAAGAACTTGCTTATCTGACACACCGTTTCAGTCATGAGTTCTTGTTACAAGAAGTCTTAATTCTTCAATTCTTAGCGTATCTATTGAATAAAAAAAAAATCAAAATATATGCAAAACAGTGAACCATTGAATTCTCATACATTAAGACTGTACTTTAAAGTGGGAATTCAGATGCCGAAGAAAATCTTCCTTAGATGTCATAGATGGTGGGAAAACTTCTCGACAGAATTCGCATATTCCACACTGATTCAGTTCAGAGGCTGTATAAGATTGTGCCAGCAAATCATTGTCTTCAGGCTGCCAAATGAGCTAAAAGGAACAGAAAATGATTATTGCTGTGGTTTACTATGTGGTCTACATGATGCTGTGGTTTGTATTTATATAGGTGCTCTTTACACCTGTCTGGCCAGAGACATAAACTAGAGAGTTCTCATTTAAGAAAAACAAGATAGGACTTAGATTTTTTTTTTTTAAGTTCTATAAACATACTATCCTTGCAAACAATTAAAATGCCTTGGTATATATTGTTGACAAATACTGCTATGAGCAAAAGTCTGTAATATCAGCCTATCTTTAACTTTGCATTTCAGTATTTTACTGTAGAAGTCACAGTACATAACAGCCATTTAAAAGAAATGAAAACCCACATTTTTACCTTAGAAAAAAATGTTTCTTGTAAGAGTTAATGTGAATCATATTTTATTTCTATTCTTACTGACACCTAATTAGTTTTCAGTTTACTTACAAAATGACTAGAGCAATGTCACACAGCCTCAGTTACTTATTTGCTCTGACTGCCTGTTAAATATATATTTGTCTAAAAATTGTCTAAAAAAATCTCTTTAGGAATTCCTTCTGCCATAACATCATCATACTCATTGGGACCACCTGAATATCTATCCATGTATTCAGGCAATTCTGTAAACTATACTAAATTTGGTTCAGCAGCTGTACTGCTCTTGGTCCCTGAGCTAGTTAAAGTCAGCAAGCAAGTCTGTTTACCCGACATTGGAGTTCAAGAGACTTCAGCCTGATACATACTCTTAAGTTATAGTGTGCACTAATTATTTAGCATCATATCAACGAGGAATCAAAAAGTCTTTTATCAGTTTTCAGGGTAAAGTTAAAAATTAAGTTTCACTAGTATTAGCAAACCAAGATAAAATTGTTATGTTATATGGCCAGGATGATTAAGTTTTGAGTAAACTGAAAACTAAATGCATACTACTGTGATGACAAAGTAGACAGAATGGAACCAAGCTGGTTTGAGCTCTATGTGGGGATGGAAACTAGAAGAGAAGAGCACCCTACAGTTTCTTTTGGCTCAGTTCTCTCTTGCTTCAGTCAAACATGGCAAAGCAAACAAGAATACTTCAGAGAATAGTTTCTTTAGAAGTTTTAAATTTCTTGCTATCGATACTTACCTAAGAGTTTCACTTTTTAGCTCTTATTCAAATTTCATCAAGCCAAGTAGTTAGAATATATTGTTTATTCCTCCTGTGGTAACTCACTGTACAACTAACCTGGCATTCATTACGGTTAAACCTTCTTTTTAAACCAGCTGAACTTCCTGAAATCAATTTCCTGCCCATTCCCTATTTAAACAGTGTTTAGCTTATCAGATAGCAATAGCAGATTTACTGTCTTTCATTATGGTCAGCAATCCATATAATTAAATTGACTAATTAGTAATTAAGTGCAATCACACCACTTTTTTTAGCTCAAAGAGTCTACTTATTGTATGTTGCTGGTGTAAATTGCATACTAAATCTATCTAGACACTGACACACTTAAACATCCCTACAGAAATGTGTTTAGAATTACTTGTTTCTAATACCTTATGATGTAAAGCACAATTTGAAAGAAAATAAAATAGTATTGTAAAAACCCCACAAAGGACAAAGTTAGATTTCTAATCTTGAAAGCACAAGGGGAGGTACTCTTAGAGCAACCCACTGAGGCAGGCACTTAACTTCTGTTCCTTTCTTTGAGTGTACTTAATATGCTTTTCAGAACAGGGATATATTTAAGCAGATGTTCCATTTCAAAAACATTAATATTCAGATTAACATCAGTAGACTATAAATCTGCTTTAAAAATCATGAACATTCTTAGAACAATTTTTCGTGGTAACAACCCCCTCAAACTGTGAATACCGATAAACATATGCATCTATATGCAAGTCTCAGTTAAATGTAGTCTGTAAAATCCTAGGTCCACTAATATCCATGTTTATTTTAATCTGCTGCTCTTTTCAGTCACGTTTTTTTTTTTTTTTTTAAAGTTACATCCTGAGAAAACAGGACTGAGTTTTCACATTTAGTATCCACATAGAAGGAAAGAGCTAAATTTATTATAGCAACTGAGAGCAGTTCCAAGAACTTACTGTTGCCAAATCTATTTCATTTATGGGGTTTTCCATTTTATAAGTTAACATATGTAGTAAATACTTGAAACTTTTTTCCATAGTAGTTAAAAAAAAAAAAATCAGGTATGTAATTCCTCCCTATTGGAGCCTCACCAGCAGCAGGGATGACAGAAGCAGTAAGCAGTGTAACTAACCCTTAGAAAGATGGTAAAAACACTAAGAACAAGTTTATGAATAAGTTTTGCTAAGACTAATACAGTTGAAAGGGCATGTATGCAAGTAACTTTTAAACAACATTATTATTTTGATCTCCATATATATTACCTGTGAATCAAACCTTTAGCACAATTAACAGTCAAAAAACTAAAGCTGAATCCAATTCACTCAGAAAAATACTTAAAAGCCTCTTCAGAAGGCAGCTGAATAAAGGCGAGGGATGTTTAAATATACTGACATATGCAGACATATATTTATGAATTCTAAAGTAATACTGGCTCATTTCAAGCAAGCTTCTCGATAAGGTATAACGTTTTAATCAATGTCCTGTATGTGCTACAGTACTATTGTAGATCTGACTTACAAATACTGAAATGGTTCGCCATTAGGTTTCTCTTCTCCAAGTGTTAGCATTAATACATTTTCCTTCAAAAAAATACATCATGAAACCCAAGGCTTATTGCTATTCAACCACAATTCTCTACTTTTTAAGCTGCATACTCCCCTCTCAATTTATAATCACATACCAGCTGTTTCACTTTCTGTAATACACAATGCAGGGTGCCATCTATTGAAAACTGAATACACAGACTAACTTGTAAAAGAATTAGCTGGAGAGGGAATACATAAAAAGAGGATAGTAACAAGCAATGGAGTGAATGCTTCACAGCTCCACAGGAATTCTACCAGTGATAAAATAAATGGTTTGATTTGTTTAACTCAGTCATAACTTTAACTAAGGACCCAACGGAAAATAAAGCACAATAAAATCTGTGATTAATAAGTTGGCATAGAATTGAGATCTTCCATATTACAAACAAATATTTAAAGTACATTTTGAAAAATCAGGCTTATAGTTTAAAATACAATAAGGAAGAACAGCAAACGTTACATGCTATAAAGTTTTCATCCAGAACTGGTTTGCAGTAGAAATCTAAACTGCACTATGTTTTAGGAGATGAAAACATCAAAGCTATCATGTCCTACAAATAGCTTTCCAAATGCTAGTTTTGCATGTCATGCAGCGGCAAAATCAAGAGGTAAAGCACTTCTGCTGCATGTGCCTTGTCATGACAAAGAACACAAAACTACATTAATGTAAATAGTAAAAATCTGCCAAATCCATCCTCTCAGAATTTCTAAGTATCACTGTTTGCTTATACCTGAAAACCTTTCCTCTCACAAGATGTGAGAAAAGCCACAGAAATGTAAAAAAAAAAACCCCAGTCTACAAGGGTCCATTATCATTTTGGCAGCAATTTCATTTGAGAAAGGATTACAAAAAAGAAGCAAAGTATTCAGAGATGTGATTGTCAGAACCTGCTGAAACGTTTTTCTGCATTACAGCAGGTGGACATTGCTTTCAGAAGTTCCCATGGACTTCAAGTAGGTATAAGTGAAATTCAAGCCTGAAGTACATACATAAACCTAAAACAAAGTATTTTAGTGAACTTTCCTTCATTTGAAAAAATAAATAGGCTTTCCTCCTTCTAAAGTATGAAGGAAAGAGTTAAGTTTTCTTAAAGGGAGGAATAAGGTGCTGTTTATACCTCACAGAGATAAACAGTAGATCATTTTCCGACAGTGAAGTATTTAACTGTTCAGCTTTTTAATAGTCCATATTCTCTGCTGTACACTAAGAACAGTTAAAACAACTATGTGCCCTATTCAACTGAGATCAAGGGTAGAAAGAAAGCAATCTAGGGGGCAATTTCCAATTAACGACAGCTTTGAAATATATAGAAGCAATTAATATCTAAATGAACTGAAATTTGTGCCAGCATATCCAGTGTCTACATCTGTTTAAATTCCTGCCCTTTCACAGGAGAAGTGCCTTGTGCACATTCCACAGTATCAGGAAGAAAAACTGACAAGAGAGAATGTCTTAAAAAAGACTGATGAGATACCCCATCAAATATATTAATCCTGTCTCAAAGATCTTTGCAAAGTGGTTGACTGAATCATTACAATTCTTTGGAACGTACAGTACTTATTAGAAAGATACCTGATGAGGACCTCTGATGACTGTCCCAGCAGCTTCTAAAGATGAAAAAATTACTTCAGGTACACCCTGGTCTGTGTGCTTAGGTACAAATGTGAAACCAGTGTCTGTTGTTTTTAAACATGTTTTGTCATGGGTATTTTCTATGGACATGTTTGCATAATCTGGGCGATTTGTTTTGTCAACAGTAGTTAAACTTTGTAAAGCTGAGGTCATGAGATCAACTCCATGAGCTTCAAATGAGTTAGGTTCCAATTTACTGAGGTTAACAGCACGGTCTCTAAGCTCCAGGTTAAAATGATGATCTTGAAGCATGTTTTCAGCTATACCAGTACAAGGAATTGCTGGTTTTTCCTGAGTGCTCTGCAAGAAAGCAGAGTCATTGTCTGTAGGTGGAAGCTTGACATTAAATTTAGAAAGTGATTCTATAGAGGAGTTGTCCTCATCTTGGCCCACTCCTCTTGGTGTGATAGATGTGATGCATGATGCACCTCTATTTATATCCTTTATAACCCGAGGCTTAAAAAGCTCTTCTGCTTGTTCATCAGTTTTATCAGTACACTGTATCGGCATGGAAAACTGTATTTCTGCAAAGAAAGAATGAAGAAAAAATTAAATAGTCCACTGAAGTATAGTTATTAAAGGCATGGTGTTGGGGTATTTTTCCTGAGAGGTTCTTGATAGTCCTTACTGGCTTTCTAAGCTTTAGTTTTTCTCTTTGAAATCAGCTTGAGGCATAGCTCGCTTTCACAAACATTAGCTCTGACACAAAACTATCATAACAGAAATAAAAGGAGGTAATTCTGTTCTAATAATTGTATTTCTCTTTGACTTATCACTGTAAACATTTTCCTTTTATTGAAAATTATGTTGTCCCATACTCTTTAACACATACTTGCATATATTTACTGAAGTGTTCTGGCAGAAATAGAAGCTGGAACCAAAACCATTTCACATGGTGCCAAGAACATGCTAAGCACCATAAGCACAATTTTAGAAGGTATTCAGGTACCAAAATCCCACTGGTTTCCAAATTTGATAAATACTTAAACTCGGTAACTATTCAGAACTGGGACCAAATTTTCCCTTTGAGAACTCAATTTTGTAATGACAGGACAAGGGGGAATAGCTTTAAACTGAAAGAGGTTAGATTTAGACTAGATATAAGGAAGAAATTCTTCACTGTGAGGGTGGTGAGGCACCGGAACATCTTGCCCAGAGAAGGTGTGGCTGCCCCATCCCTGGCAGTGTTCAAGGCCAGGTTGGATGGGGCTTTGAGCACCCTGGTCTAGTGGAGAGTGTCCCTGTCTGTGCCAAGGGGCTGGAGCTGGATGTGCTTTAAAGTCCCTTTCAACCCAAACCATTCTGTGATTCTATGATTTTCAGCACTTTATTAAGAAAAATGGTAATAATACACATGGTTACTCCTAATCAGGTGAGAGAATAACTTCAGTACACATTTACTGTACAGCAGCCTTCTGACATCACTCAGATATTGTAGTAAAGTGGGCCACAGAATAATAGAAATCAAGCAGATTGAATCTGTATCATGTATAGCTTTTCACACTGTTGAGTTAGGCACTTATTTAAGGAAAAGAAATCCATTCTGAAATAAGTTGCCAAGCACTCACCCCCCCAGATTCCCACCCCTAAATAATAAATAAAGTTTAGTACTGTACAATCAGAATATAACCATACAGTTCAGACATAGCAATCTGAAGCCACAAACTCTACATGAGCACTTAAGGTAAAAAAAGTTTAGTAATTATATAACCTAAATAAGAAGCAAGTACTGAAATCAGCATCTCTTGCTTCAACCATGTAAGTTTGGCAGGTGTTTCTTGAGATCACCTAAGCATCTGATCCTGCTAGCTTGTAAGGAATACCAATAATAGCTTACATTCAATATAACGTAAGCATTAGCAAAACTCGACATTCAGGATCTCTTCCAGTTGCAATAAAAATCAAGCCTTTCTTTTGTTTTCAGGAAGTGTTGGATTAAACTCCTGTCCCATATAACAAAACAGCATTCAAAAGTCTGCACAAGGAAGTCCAGAAAATAAGTCCTCCAGCTCTCCTCAGTCCAGCAGTTTTCCTCTAACAGACATGGGGCTAGAGACATTCATAACAGACATCTTTTGAACTGACAGCTAAATTAAAAGCAAGCAAGTGCTGTCATTCACACAGTATGATGGAATATCACATGTAGTAAGTGCTTGCCTCTCACTCCAAGGGACAAAACAATTACAAGAGCCATTGATGTGATGACTGTCTTTTATAGCATGTGATTTGGAGCATTCGTCATAGAATGCCAAAACTGGCGGTGCGTTTTCTTGGTGAAATACTGAGCACCATGTGAACAGACTTGAAAAAGGCAGATGGTAAACAGTGGAAGTACTTCTATGTATGTGTAATTTACAGTATTTTCAAATATAAAGCAAAGCTTTCAAACAGTTGAATCACAATAAGAGCTTAAGTATGATATTACCAGTTTCAGGTTCTGGCTTTATCTTAAATTTACTCAGTTGGTCTGTTTGTTCTCTGGCTAGCATACATATTCGATGCCACTCTTCTTTCATGTCCTGGAAAATAGTCTCCACATTCTCCCTGGAAGATCGAAATTGTAAATCAGTCAACCAATTCAGGTTGTTGTGACCTTTAATCTAGTCACACCCACAAACCAGAGAAAAACAATAGTGTAAGCTACTTTTCTTGGATACCTTGTTTCTCGACATATGTAAACATATTTTTGTTTTCCTCAGTAAAAGCAAGCAGAAAAGGGAAAAGAAAATCTCATCAAAGAGCTGTTTAGTCATATCACATACACATACATTTGAACTTAGGGCCTGACTCTTCAACGACCCCCCCTCAGAAAATCCAGCCTTTACATTTCCTTCAGTTCTCTCAGGTATTTTGTGGAACAGCTTATCTTTCACAAGGATACTGTTTCCATCTCATTATAGGGAAAATAAGCTGCTGATACTTCTGCAAACATTAATTGTTTACTATTCTTTTCTGTGCATTTCAGACTTTGCAGGACAAGGAATACACAAGCATTTATTACTGCTTCTTCCTTCTCTGTCTACCTGACATTTTGAAGAGGGACTTGTGAACTCATTACTTCTTTATTTTATGCAATATCACATGCCTTTCCCTTTTATTTTGATTTTTTTTTTTTTATTATATCTTTTCCAGAGTATCATATGGACATCCCGTATTTAGTTATCTGCACTGAGAATAGAAAAATAGTTCTTCATGCTAGTGTGAGTTTTATTTGCCTAAAGGCACTAGGTTATTCAGTTATTGATGTATCCATAAAATTCCATTGCAAAATTTTGATAAACTTGCTGAGTGATTTATATTTCTAAGCACAATATAATGGATGATATAAAATGGAACTTCAAGGATGAAAAAGTGAAGTTGGATTTGAGTTCTTGTTTGCATCTTTGTATCAGAAGAGCTCAAAAGGGATTTTTCTTTGATTCAGTGAATTGTTTTCCTCTTTATTGCCTATTCATATATATCAGGAGTGTCATGGCTGTGTTCTTACTTCCATTGTGTTTCTCTTTCTGAGGACATAAATGTCTATTTGTAATTCATTTGAAAAAAATCCCAAATCTACAGAAGGAGTTAAAGTTGCTACTGTTACCACTTACATTCTGACCCTTTTTCAGGTGTTTGATAAATAAAGAATTAAAAAAGATTCTTGTCACAAGTTCCTAATCAGAGCTTTAAAATATACATATGATTAGATGAATCAATCTTAATTTGCTAGACTTTTGTGATACTATAATCTTACTAGTGTAAGATTACCAGTAATCTTACCAGTCACATACCTCTTTCCAAGCAAACAGTAAAGTAAGGGAGTTACTGGAGAGCAGGGAGACAGAAGACAGGTAAAGGTTTTTTATTTTTAAATCAGTATGAAGACAAAAAGTCTTTAAGGACAAAAAAGTCTTTATCACATCACAATCTTATTCCTCTCTTTCTTATCATAAAGCAGTAGTGACTCAGACTAAAGATCATGTAGTTCATCTGCCAAAAGCAGATGGCTAGTCAAGAGTATAAGAAGACAGCAAGAACTGGTGATACTTTTCCCTAATACTCTCCTAGCTGCACCTTAAAGAATCTTCAACTTGACCTCAGCAAAATTGTGAAAAGTGGTATTACTGCCTATCCTGTGAAAAATGCAAACTTTAGACTTTGGTCAATACTTTCCCCAAAACACAGGCAGAAGAGGGAATACTGGCTTAAGAAATACACTGCTTTTGGTCCCTTGGTCATAGCAAGGGCTGGCTGGCTTCAGCTTACAGATAAACCTGATTTTAAACTCTCTCACTTAGGATGGCTCATGCTGACTATCGTACTTCCTCCTGGCAGCGCAGCAGGCTCCTCTGCTGTGCTGCCATCAGTTAATCTGTTACAGTTGTACCTTCCTGCTCTGAAGAGAGTTAATGCTTACCCAAAACCCATCTTTAACATCCACTGCCGTTTCCCAGAGAGTTTAACCTCCTGCTGAACCAAGTGGCTATTTTTCTTCCTCTCAACTTATCCCTACATACTTGCAAAGCCTCAGCTATGATTCCATATAGTTGCCGGCTTTAACACCTTCCCACATTGGCTCTTTGACCTCTACTCCTCCCCCGCCCCACCTCCCCATTCATTTTTTAAGGTGCTGTGTAGAAAACAGGGAAATAGCTGGTCTTATTTAATAGCAGAAAAGACAAAAGCAAATTTCAAAAACCGTGCTACAAAAGCATTTACCTTTCAGACACAGGTGAAACACCAGAGATCCCTAGAGATAATTCAGGCTTATCTGGAACAACTTTCTTACTTTTCACCTTGAAGTAAAATACGAAAATATTGATCAGCGGTAAGCATATTAATTTTGCTCTTCACCCTGATCTGAATAAAAATATAGTGGGATCCCTCACCTGGTCCTGGAACCTCTCAAAACTTTCACAGAATTACAAAAGCAGTTTTTTACAGTTTCTGTGAAATTCCTATTTTTAGTTTAACTCAGCAACTCAGTGTGGCATTCTTCTGCTCACATTCCCCTGAAAGGAAACTGGTTCTAAGAATATTGCTTGACTGTAATTCCATTTCAGTCACATATAAGTTAAGATTATGTATTGTGTATAAGCTTGCTAGTGAGGTATTTAGCTACTTTAGCTCTGAAAAACCAATATATTCACTGAAATTTTCAATGAGCACATCACAAGCCGGTATGTCAAGAGTTCTAGATATTTTTTAAGTAAGTTATTAACTTTGACTACCACCTTGTGGCTCATTCTAGTATTACATAGTTTAAAATCCAGCTATCCCACAAGGACAGAATAGCACTCTGGATGCTATTCTGTAACCAAAAATAGAGTGGCATAAAAATGAAAAAAACAACTCAATCTTGGTGAAAACTCCCAATGGAAAATTACAAAACAGAAATGCTAATCTGGTGTTTTCACAAATACTAAATTTTGAGGACATAACATGAAATAATTAACACACAAAGCAGCCAATATGTACTTAATAGTTTGGTGTTCCCTATGCGCTTTACATACTTTAATGATTTCCAAGTAATTATAGGATGCTTAAATTTAAAATGATTTCTTATAATAACTAGTATAAACATGTTTGAAAGAAGAAATAATTTAAAAATTGTTGGTTTTTTTTTTTTCATTTTATCTCTATATGGTTTTGTATCTTACCTCCCTTTTATCTGCTGGCATCTGTATATCCTTTTGTGCTTCACTTAATTCTTTCAATTTGCTTTTCAGACTTCTTATTGTGTTTTCTTGGTTGGAAATAATAGATATCAGCTTCCTTTCCTTTTGATTATTTTTGTCTTCAAGTTGCTTCAATTTCATGCTCTCAATTTCTAACTGTTCCTAAACAAACAATTTTAGAAACACCAGTACAATTAACAGAACTGAGTCTTGTGGAATATCACTATTCAGCAGTGTAGAATAAGCTAAATTAAGCTTTTGCAACATAAATGTCAGTCTTATTTATGACATTAATAATTTTAAACTCATAGTAAAGACCTTCTACCACTACACATAGTGGTAACTCATCATAGATAATTACTCAAAAGAACTGTATGTTCTGAATTTCTGAAAGTCATATTAGTGTTTATAAGAAATAAAGACACTCACTTGGTTTACTTACTGTATGATTTATATTAACATTTTATGTACAATATATTGTATGTACAATATATAAAATAGCATTTAATTAATTTCAATCTTAAACAATTTTGAAGAAGGTTATATTCTGCTTAATTTTTGAGCAGACCCAATAATAGAATCATAGAACCACAGAATCACAGAATATTGCAAGTCTGAAGTGACCCAGAAGGGTCATTGAGTTCAAGTCTCTGCTCCTTGCAGGACCACCTAACACTAAACCATGTAACCAGGAACACTGTCCAGAAGCTCTTTGAACTCTGACAGGCTTGGTGCCATGACCACTTCCCTGGGAACCCTGTTCCAGTGACTGAGCACCCTCTGGTGAAGAACCTTTTCCTAATGTCCAGCCTGAACTGAACTTCCCCTGACGCAGCTTCATTCCACTTCCTTGTGTCCAATTGCTGGTCACAGAGAAGAGATGAACACTTCCCCTTCTCCAAGCTGAACAAACCAAGTGACCTCAGCTGCTCCCCATGAACTGCTGCCCTTGAGCCCTTTCTCCACCTTGGTTACCCTCCTCTGAACACGCTCTAATAGTTTGACATCTTTATCTTACACTGAGGTGCCCAAAATAGCACACAGTACTCAAAGTAGGGCTTCAGTGTAAAGTGAAATAAAAAGCAATGGCTGACCCCAGTTTAACTATCCATATAATTAATGGAACTTTTATGTATGTGGGCTTTTTGGTGGAATGAAGAATATAGCGTATTTTTTTTTAATATGAACAAAGATAGTGCTTGGATAATTTTCAAGAAACAACTTATGATAAAAAACTGTAGCTATGAAAACCTTATAGTTGTCAGTTTATGGAATCTATAGAAGTACTCATCTTGATTTGTATCAAATGTTATAAAATGTGGCCTGAAGCCTAATGTCTGTCTCTGAAAGAGAAGTAAGCCCAGGGGGTTAACTCTGCAAGAACTATAAATAAAAAGCAGTGATAAACACTCTAGGCAGGTAGGGAAAGTTAAAAAGGAAAGCAAATCAAGTATTTTTTCAGGAGCACTTGCTTTATTTACAAATGGGACCTAAACTGGGTGAGGTTGTGCATTTGGCAGTTAGGTAGGTAAGGACTACTCTTCTAGACAATGACAGCCATGTAGGGATGTGTCCAGAGCTGGTCTACAGAGACACTGGGTGGTTAAACATGGATATGTGTATATGCAGCGGATATAATAGTTTAGCCTCAAAAAGTTATACTAGCTGGATGGAAAAAAAACCCAACCCTACAGAAAATGAGCTTTGAAGGCATTGGTTTTTTTATTTCAGTCTCATTTGTGACTTTGAATAGTAAACCTATAGTAAGAGCTTCAAAGCAGCTCCAGACTTGGATGATATCTCAAGGGTCCATATTAAGTCTCTTCTGCTCAGTAGGTTCAAAATTGTCTAAAAACGGGATGTTTGTATCCCAGCAACTCCTTAATCTTAACCCTTTTTCCATGCTTTGCACTTCCAGCAGGTGGTGTAGGGAATATATGTATAGATCATGAAACGCTTTCTACACTCTTGTAGTGTAGAATCTATATACATCATAGTAGGTAAGAATCCAGGGAAGCAGTTAAAAAAGAAAATTCAAAGAACAAAGGAGAGAAAAAGGAGAAAGACTTTTTTTTTTTTTTTACATATAGTTCTGGATAAAAACCAAGCATAGATGACTAAAGATTTTAGGCTAAACAATCATAGAATGGTTTAGGTTGGAAAGGACCACAAGATCATCTAGCTCTAACCCTCCTACCATGGGCCGGAATGCCTCACCCTAGACCATGTTGCCGAAGGCTCTGTCCAACCTGGCCCTGAACACTGCCAGGATAAGAGCATTTACTACTTCTCTGGGCAACCTCTTCCAGTGCTTCACCACTCTCACAGTGAAGAACTTCTTCCTTATATCTAGCCTGAACTTCCTCTGTTTAAGTTTGAACCCATTATGCTTTGTCCTATCACTACAGTCCCTGATGAAGAGTCCCTGTTCACCATCCTTATAGGCCCCCTTCAGACACTGGAAGGCTGCTATGAGGTCTTCATGGAGACTTCTCCAGGCTGAACAGCCCCAACTTTCTCAGCTTGGCTTGGTATGGGAGGTGCTCCAGCCCCCAGTCATCCTTGTGGCCCTCATCTGGACTTGCTCCAATAGCTCCATGTCCTTCTTATGTTGAGGACACCAGAACTGCACACAGTTGTCATATGTCATCATCTATAACTGATGCTAAAGCAGACAGATTTCTGAAATGGCACAAGAAGAACACTATGAAGAATTACAATACTATGAGGCACAGAAAGTTGAAAGCAAGTTAAGGAAGTATCTGATCCATGAGAACAGACAATCATATCAAGTGCTGTGGAAAAAAAATACAATCTGTGTTAAGAGAAGATGGAGACATGCATAAAAGTATGCTTAACAAATCTGAAGAAAATTATAGCAAGGCCATATGCTGAACATAGTTTTGTAAGTATACCTTTTCCATGTTCTTTAAAGACTACATTATAGTATGGGGAACTGCTTTTTGCCACTCCAGGAATGGGCAGCGATATAGTGTGGGTTCACAGACCCCAAGCTACCGCTCAGCAGTTATTTGGTCACAGGGTTCCCAAACATTAGAATCAAAGAATAGTTTGTGTTGGAAGGGACTTTCAAAAGTCATCTAGTCCAACCTCTCCCTGCAATGAGCAGGGACATCTTCAACTAGATCAGGTTGCTCAAGAGCCCCATCCAGCCTGATCTTGAATGCTTCTGGGGATGGGGCATCTACTACCTCTCTGGGCAACTTGTGCTAGTGTTTCACCACTTCATTGTAAAGAATTTCTTTCTTGTATCTATGGCCATTCGATGGTCAAATTTGATTTCCTATTTAAAAAGCCAATGGGATGCAGTTTGTCCTTTGAAAATGATTTGCTGGAAATCCAAACACCTAGGAAAAAGCTTATGTCAAAGATGACACTTGCCCTTGAAGAACAACTCTGCCTTAAAGACAGTAAAATAACTCACTGAGCCTGTGACACAGCATTAGTCTGTACACACATAATTTATCTATTTGTGACTATTACAGCTCCAAGTAACGTGAGCTTCTAAAACCTTTCAAATAATTGGATGGACTGCAGTAATGGTTCTCTTTCCTTTCTGCTACATTCTCCTGCAGGAAGTTGGAACAATAAACAACATGAGAAGAGCCATGCAACATGTTGTAATGAAGATATAGCAGTACCTAACTGACGTAAATCATCATTCTCATGCACTGTCAGGGTACACCACCAGGAGAAACACTAGAGAAATGACTGCACTTTTTAGGATCTTTCAATAATATAGCCCTTCATAGCTTGATGATCCTACAGTTTCTAGTACTGATTGAGTTTGGATATTTGCAACAATGTGGTAAGATTTATAAACCGGCTGAAGTTTATAAAGCGAATGCCATAATGATTAAGTATACCACACACACTATACCTCCTCAGTTAAGTACTTGATCATACAATGGATTTTTTAAACATGATCAGGTTACTCAGCTTGGCCTTGAATTCTCTAAGGATAGAGACTACACAACCTCTATGGTCAACTCTTTCCAATGCCTGGCTGTCCTCATGATGAAAAGTTTTCACGCAGGTCAAGTCTGAACCCTTCATGTTTCAACTACCCATTGTCTCTCATCCTTTTGCCATGCACCACAGCTAAGACCCTGGTTCCACCTGCCTGTTAACCTCAGCACAGTTATTAGAACACTACTAGCTTCCCCTGAAGCCCTATCTGCTCCAGGTTGGACAAGTCCAGTTTCTGCATCTTCTTCTCACGGGGTATGTACTCAAGCTCCCAACTACCTCAGTGGGGCTTCTGCTGAATTCACTCTAGTTTATCAATGTTTTTCCTGTACTGGAGGTTCCAAACTGCATGTAATGTTCTAGATGCAGTCCAATGAATGCTGAATAAAGTGAGATATACACTTCCCTGGGTGTGCTACCTGTGCTCCTGTTAACACAGTCCAGGAAGCTGTTGCCCTTCTTTTCTGCCAGGACACGCTGCTGGCTCATGTTCAGCTTGCTGTCTAACAAGACCTCAGCTCCATTTCCAACAGAGCTTCTCCACAGCCAGTCAGTCCCCAGAGTGTACTGCTGCAAAGACAGGTCCTTCTATTTTTAGTGTTTCAATGGCTTCCCAGAATAAACAAATTGTCAGATAGCTTCAAGAATACTATTCAACTGATGTACTGCAAGTAGTCTCAAGGAATATTAACTGTAGCTTTTAACAGTTTAACCACAAACTCTTATTATTGGTATTAAACAGATGAAGCAGTAAGAAAAAAGCTATCAATCCAGAATTTCTTATACTGGGTAGCAGGGTCTAATTAGTTCTACATGAACATGTTTTCTTGTCGTAAGTACTGACTTTAGTTTCATGTTTTATGGAGTTTACAAGGATTCTGATGTCTGATTTTGTACTAAAAATAGCATACAGAAGAAGATTTACTTTACATTGTCTAATCTTGCTTACGAAGGTTTTCTGTTCGCTGTGTAGCTTCAGGTCCGAAACAGTAACCAGATCTATATTCTACTTACTTAATAAAGTTTGGCCAGGCTGTACTCAAAATGAGATGGCAATTTAGGTCTCTTTGGTCTCCTCAAGCAGGTGACTGAAAAAATCTGATAATCTTGTATATGGTTTGGTACTGAACACTAAGCCAATCTGGTCCACTCACCTATTTCAGTGAACATGAATGTGAATCAAAAAAAACCCCACAACCCAACCCCCCCCCCCCCCCCCCAAACATTTTATAACACACTGGCAACAGTTTGACAACAGCAGGTAAAATACACAACTATGGCCACATACTAGAGAACAGAAAAGCTGACCCTTCCCTCATTTTAAACTTCTAAAATTTAAGCTCTAACCATGCACTTATTACATTAAATCCAGGATTTCTATTAACTTCACTGGAGGACAGTCCACTGAGAAATCCCATTAAACTCAGCAAAAGGCAGTTTTGAAAGGTATTGATAAACCCAGGCACTTCCAGCCATGGGAGAGACTCTGAGTTTTAAGGAAGAACATGAAGAAACAGCAACATTTTAACCTAAAGACTGCAATCACAATTTATTATCTGGAACTATAATTTTTTTAAGTCTGAAATTTTTGGTGGAGAAGCAGAATAAAGCAGTTAATGCAGTAGAGGACAAGCTATAGGCAGAATTTATTTTAGAGCAGAATGTGGATAGAATGTTATAAGAAGAATACAGGATTTCAAAAGAGCTTCCAAATTTCAATAGCTGAAAATGGCCACTACTTTATTGAATTAGATAAAAGACAACTATACTGTGTCAGTGAGAGGATGATGGATTTCTGGACTAACAGATATCAAAATATGTCTGGGGAGAGAGTATGAGGAAACATGAGGCATTGATGGTAGAGCCTTTAATAAATTCCCAGACCTTCTGAGTAATAGTTTCTATGTATTTATTAACTCTCAAGAGCTTTCTCTTCCATGAAGTTGTCCAATTTTCCCTTGAAGCAGGAAGTTCCACTTGTTGACTAATTAGCCTGTGAAGAAGCTGTTTTTATTTATTTTACTTTTACTTCATTTATTCAGAAAGAGAAATGGGTACTCTCAAATTATCTTGATGTGGTCCTGGTGATTTGCTACTTGTTCATGTTTCCCAGCTTGTTCTGTACATTTATTCCATGCAGTTTACCTTTTTATCCATCATATGTAAAAAATTGTATGTTGAAAAAGCGCAAAAAGTTGGCAGCTGCCATAAGTGCATATAAAGCATTTATAACAATGCAATTATGTTTCCACCATCTTCAACAGGGATTATATGGTTCTCCTCTCCTGAGTTTATTGAGTAACACAAGGACTTGGGTACAGAGTCTGCTGTATATCTCCATAGCCAGCTCACAAATGGCATGGCCAAGACACAGCCAGAGCTAACAGAAGTGTGTGTACCTCTGCTGTGCTGTCTGGACATCTTTGTATCACTCTTACCAGGTTAGCAGAAGCTTACTAGTCACAACACCAAACATTAGGATCCTCCTTATATCAGAAGGATGTTGCAAAGATATCCACATGCCTCTGCAAGAAGCCAGCCTTGGTCCAGTCAAACATATTTTCCCTCAAGCCCCATCTTCTCAACACTTACGAGTAAGAGAGCTCCTACATTCTGAGTAACAAGAACATAGAGGAGGCTGGGGCAACCTGACTTTGCATAGGTTTAGATCTCTGCTGATCCCCTCTGAAAAGACCTTATTTTTATAGCACTATGTTATAAACTGTGGGTTTAAATGCAGACAGACTGTATGGTTGATTCTGTATCAGAAATATTTCTGTTCATGGTACAGATGAAGCAAAATCCAGATGAACTACCTGCTGCTGAGAGGTAACTGCAGTAACTGACTACACAAAGAAATGCAGATAAAAACAAATAACCTACATTCCATTATGAAAAAGCCCTTGAAATAATAATTCCAGATTCTCATGCATTGCTTTAATCTTGTGTATAGATCATATAATTTCTGAGTGTTTTCCCATGAGAAGAGCAGATAATACGGCTTATTTTCTCCTATTCATTATATAACTAAGTTATTTAAAACTACTGTTCTTGAGCAAGCATTCAGAAACAAGAGTATGAAATACCAGACTTGGTCAGGTCTGCATGTGCAACTGTAAGACATAATTATTATCCAACTAAAGACACAGAAATACGAAACTAGGCAAAGGTGATTCATCAAAGAATTAACCCTTCAGCTGTGTTGTATGCCAAATAAACGCAGAGACTGGGAAAGAAATTGTATCTTTTGATTACAGATTTTAGTGTGGAAAAATTATATAATACCTTTTTTGTTTTTTTTATAAAAAGGAGTGTATATAAATCTTTGGTAACAGTATGTTTAACATGTTTGCAGAGGCTTAGTCTCAAATGAGATTCCTTCAAGACAATTAAGCAAGCATCAGCAATCCAATGAAATTACTTTTAAATTAATATTTCTGATAAAAAAATAATTTCTATGAATTGCATAATTAATTTGTTTATAGCTTGGGTGTAGGAAACAAATCCTGAAATGAATTCTTTTTAAATCTAATGCCCGATTTCCTATAAGGGTCTTTTTATGACTCTTACAGGGTCTCTGTTATGCAGATTCATATTAAAACATCAGAGATTTGGTGTTACAAGACAATTCTTAAACAACACAGCAGGATGACCTAGGATAAGAAAAATGCAACTTAGTGCATCTCTGTCCCTGTCTTTTTTCAATATGCAAAATCCATTCAAGGCATTTCCCATCTATTCTGCACTACTGCTTTACTCTCATGCCTGTTACTCTCAACAGGCTGTAGTGACAATCTTAGTGCAGGGAAGAGGGGCAGAAGAGAAATTGTACTAAAACTGGTTATTTAAAAAAACCCCAAACAAATCATTAGCATCACCAGAACAATGGCTACTTCATTTTTCACTCTACCACTTTCTGAGTGCAGATTCTCCATTCCTTGCAAAAACACACAGGCTAGCTGCAATGTGAAGAGCTCTTGTGAGAGAAAGAGAAGGCCCCATCTTGACCATTGGTTTTGGCAGGTTAAGAAATAAATGAGCAAGTAAGTTCCTACTTTATGATCAAAACTATTCTAGGGAGCTTGATGGCCAAGCAGTGATTGCCCTGGGAAAGATCAAAGGTAGACGCTTAGTTCACCTAAGGAGACTGAAGTGGCACAACACTTGTGCACTTCAGGTGAGGATCTTGTACTAGAAAACATGCAGTAAAAATCTCACTTCTCTCCTTAGGTTCTCATAGTATAATCACAGCACAAATGTGATCTTATGTTAAACACACTGCAGGCAACCATACCTTCAAGAGTTTTTCTCTTTGCTTTGCTGCATTCAGCTTTTCAGAGAGCTGCCTTAAAGACAAGTTGGAGGTTTCAACGTCTTCATGCATTGGAATGTAGGGGTGTACATTACCTTAAAAAAAGAAACAAAAGCAGCTGATTGAGCTGACTGACACTACATTTTTCCCCAGCCAGCTTCTATCTAAGCAAAATTAAAAGAAGCTAGGCTTATATTGTTCTCTATTTTCTTTGAGCAAGCTTTCATATCAAACAAGCAAGAGAAGTCCAATTGTGTGCTAATAGACAATGCAAGATTAAACCAGCAATAAAGAATGTACATATACACTTGAAAATAAAAGCCAACCACTTTGCTAGTATTTATGAAAACCATGAGTGTTAGGCTAGTGTGAATAAATATTTAATGAGCATGGCAGATTAACACATGGTTACTTTGACTCTTTTCTCTTATTTGTGTAATACAGTCAAATAGTGGAAAATTATCCATCAATGACTATTTGATTTGAAAGAGAATTACCTGTTTGTAAAGCTTGGCTATCCAGTAAGATTAGCATCACAAGACTTGTCAAACAGGAAAACATATAATCACAGCACTCACATCTAGAATAACCTGAGCTAAGCTTAGTAACAGAAAATTGTAGAATATGTAACAAATTTGGTTCTCATTCTAGTGAACAATTTGAACCCATATTTTCATAATTTTTGTCTTCAGTGTAAGCAGGTTCTACCTCTGAAGAAAATCTCACAATTTCCTGAAGAGGATAAAGAGAGACCTCAGAAGTGTTGCATTTTATAAATAGATTTTGAAACTGCACATTTGTGTTAACTCTCATGTTCACAGAAAAGTACGATACGGCTTTGAGAGATGTATATTGTAAAAACTGAAGCAACAAAGTCAGAACTACTCATCAATGCAACACAGCATAAAAAGAAAGAACATGCAAACTGGAGTACATACCTCTATTAGCATTCAGAGCAGCTAACTGTGATTTCAGTTTTGCAATAATGTTGCTTTGAAGCTCTATCCTTTCCTGCTGTTCACGTATTTGCTGCATGTAGTTTTCTGTCTGCAAATATAATTTAATTAGCATTAATCTTATTCTGTTTTGACTAGGGGTCTCCTATTTGGCATATAAAAATCAGCTCTGATTTTTGAAGATAACTGTAATTGTGTGAAAGCCCAACTACAGTCACCTTTGACGAGTCCATATTTTTGAGACTACACTTATTAGAAAAGTTATCATAGGAAATAAATCCTGATTTCAGTAACTGCTTCAACTGTGGCAGTTGTAAAGGATAGGGTAACTTTTAAGTCAGGATTCTTCACGTAGCCACAGAATACATCAGGTTTAAAATTAGAATTTTAGTATGCTTCAGAATGCTGGTCAGTTAGTTTATCTACAGAAAGATGTAATTCTCTTCTCCCATATCTTCTAACAAATAAATTACATAAAAGTAGGCTTTCAAAAAGATAATTTTAAATGGAAAACAGTCGTGCTTATTCCATGCCACAAATATTTTGTAAGTAACTTTAACTGCCTATGAACGAGTTTTGCCTGTTCCTTTGAATGTAGTAACTTTTTTTTCTAACCTAGAAAATGGGGGGGGAAGCAAGCAAGCAGCCCATTCTTCATCTAGCTATACTCCATCTCATGCTATAAACAGGCCACACAGAGCCTAGTAAGACTGCTCACATTCCATCGAAGTGTACAAATACTGTTAGACAGACAGTGAATTGAACAAATAGTCAGGTGGCAGGAAGATACTAGTATTCAAAACCTATTATTTCATTAGCACATGCCTAATGTTGCAGTTATAGTAGTGCCAAAAACAAGCAAGAAAACTTGTGAAGTCCCAGGAAGGAAACTTACAGGAATCCACTGAATTTTCCTGAAATTAAGAATATGTCTATTACTGAACAGGTCGTGACCTGGGACAAGACTTGGCATTATTTTCATGTCTATTCATAGTTTATCCATACTACTGTCTAATTCTCAAATCTCAGTCACATTTAAATACCACAGCCCCTTACTGCCCAATGTGTTTGTCTGTAAAGCAGGAAGGAAAAAAAAAAATCTACAAGCAAATTGTATTTTAGAAGGCCAGGTAGGAGCTGTGCTGTGAGATTTTATTAAAAAAAAAGAGAAAAAAAGTGATCAAAGAGCAGTACACTCCAGCAGCTATAAGAGACCTCATGAAGCAGAAAAATCACTGAGAAGCAAATTGAAAATGTACAACAGCAATGTCTTGTCAACACTTCTGTACAGAGCACAGACATGACAGCTAAAACAGATAGAAGAGAAGATGCTTTTGACAGCCAGTGTGCACAAATTATTCCTTGAGTCAGATGGCAGCAACAAGTTACCAACTAGAAGATCTGCATGACAACCAACCATCCATCTGTATCAAACACCATCTGGCCGAGATGACTCTGGCTTCTGTGTGCTTGACATCGCTCCCAGCTCTAGAGACTGGCAAAACAAGTGGCCTATTGGTAACTTAAGTAGTAAACTGTTAACAACAGAATTGTGGACAATCCAACACTGTGTGAAGGCCACACAATGAACAGAGAAAGTTACTAGAGTAAAGCACTGTACAAAGGTCATTCAAAAACCAGGGCTTTGGATAAAAAAAACCTGAAAAACACCACAAAAAAATTGCCCAACTAATCATAGAATCAATGCTTGAAAAACTACTTTTGTTCTCTTTTGAAGTTATGAAATCCAGCTAGTGAAAGTTTGATTAGGACAAAGATTTGAACTTGTAGTAATATTTTATGAAAGGCTTTAGTTCCTGATTTTTGAACCAGAGAAAATGCAGAGAAAGATCTTGCAAGCATTTCACTTAACACTGCTTATCTCATACATCTCCGGTTTTCTTCTGTAGACGTTAGAATGGCTGACATTGTACTTCTTAGGCAGAAGTTTCTTTCATGTACTGTTAGATGACCCAGGTGTATTAATTTGACTGGTTTTTCTTTAAATAATTAATAATTCATCATAAGAGACAGAGTTTAAAAGATTCCCAAACATTCTAAAATATGTTGCCTTTGATTAAGTTAGTTGCAATTTTCAGCAGAAAACATATTGGCATGCTACTTGTACTTGTTAAGTACAGAAAATGCTACAGATTTGCCCCAGCACTGCTCCAAGAGACTATGAACATAGAAAGACTGCACACTGGCTGACTGCACACAGGACTGATTTCATAATTGTTCTGCAGTGCCTCGGCTAGTTTATTTTGCCATGCAAGGGGATAGCAAGATTGTGCCCAAATATCAGAATATTTTCTAGTAGACCTTTTCCTGCTCCCAGTTTTACTACTGCTTCCATAACTTGACACTCAGTATGGCTCATCTGCCCCTGAACAAAAGGCCAACCTACCAGTTCTATGGAAGTATCAGAAAGTCCTGCAGCACTAAAAACGTTCGAGCCTTCCTGCAGCAGAGGTTCCATTGCTGAGCAGAATACACATGATCAAATGAGTATGACAAAGCCCAAAAATGACAGCTCTGCATTATGCTGGCATACATGATGAGAAGTTCTAGAAGATTTTCTGCCTGAAGTAATGTATTCCACAACAGACTAAGTAAAAATTCAGAAGTGCTCCTTAGTGGTCAGAATGCCTCTAGAATCTTTCTACTACTTCACAGTTAAAGAATAACTGTTCAGATGATTATTTTTAAAAATCAATACTTATAATAATTTTAAGGTGAATTTGCTGTAAATGTTTCAACACACAAACTCTGTTCTCCTAATAGCTTGCACAGTGCTTAACCCATTAGAGTCTTTGACCTTCACATCAAGTAAACTAATAGTTCATATGATGGCATATCTTCCCATTAACACAAAAATGATTTAATATAAGCTATTTAATATTTTTTAAAGTAATTTTTTATTAAAACAAATGAAAATTCCAAAAAATACTTCATTAAAGTTAGGTAAAGTTATATACATCATTGCTGTTCATATTAGACTTCATTAATCCTCCAAAACAGACAACACTTTTCTTACCTTTAAAACAAACAAACAAACAAATCCCAAACCCATAAATTAAATAAATTAAATGTCAAAAACCTGAAACCCACCTACTACATTCACAGCCTAAGGAGTTACCCTGCAGTGTACTGGCCTGCTTTCAGAACAGCAATTTCCAGATGCACTTGTGAATGGGCTTTATAAGCTTTATTAAGTTGCTCTCCAATTTTGTCCACAATTCCCAATGTTGTTTCATCACTGAAAAGGTGGTCAAGTTCATAGACCTGAAAAGTAACCAGAAAGAAAAAGAAAGAATGCTAAAACCCACAAATGCATAACTAAAACCATATATAACATGACTTGTATCAATATCAAATTCAAGTAGTATGTGCAGTATGTCTGCGCATTAACTCATGTAACAGTTTGAACTATAGCTCTGCTCACCTCAAAAATTTCACTTTAAGTCCAGGTATAGATTTAACCAAAAGCTAAATAAAAGCAGATTAATTTTGGATGTACAAAATGTGTAAATGTATGTGTGGTTACAGTATTTGAGCACTGAGACTTAAAATTGATGGAGATCACCGATTACCTGATTTTATGACATTTCCAACAATTTCATGCTTACTCAATTCTGAAAAAATGGCACTAAAAAAACCCCCCAAACTCAGCTTTTGGCATTAAGTCATAAAAAGATAAAAGCTCAATAACATTACATCACATGGACCTAAACTATTCTATGCCATATTTGAAAATGGCAATACAAGCAACACTACAAGGTGAATGAAGACATCTTTTACCTAAAAATTGGTAGTACAAACCAGTAAGAATTAGCAAGACTTCAGAACTTTTCACACAATACTATCCACTTTTTACATTTTATGAACAATTTCAGTAACAATTCCTGAAGCTACAGCTCATGAACTTTGACACGTAAGACTACAACACTGTTAAATGTCATGGACTTCAAGTCAGAGTGAACTTTGCAAACACAGGTCCTTTGCTTCTACAGTAATGTTACATGAATGTTAAGATTAAAATTTATCATAAGTACAAGAGAGGATAGGTTAAGTGAAGTCTCAAAAAACCCCAAACCCTAAACCCCCCCCAGGTGTCAGCATTAAGGAAAAAAAGAATTAAAAATAAAACATCAACCAAAAAAAAACAACCACCCCCCCCCCCCCCCGCAATTCACATCACCTCCCCTGATATTTAAAGATGGTTATCTCACAGTACACAAGTATGGACAGCGACTATCATCTCTCACTATCCTCTGGGATTATTCATAAACCACAGATAATGTTAAAGTGGTGCACTCAGAAAAAGATAAGCCAAGCAAGAAGGGATGAAGATAACTTTTCTTGGACCCTGGTCAAAATTTTAAGGATTGCAGCTTGGAGGTTTTTTTCACGTTTCCTTGCTCTTGAACATCTTCCATATCATAATGCCTGAATACAGAAATGTGGTTTGACTTTGTTAAAAGGTGCAACAGACTGCTGTATGGATGTTGCACCATTTTGTCCCGCAAACTTCAGTATGATGTGTGTGTACTGCAAAAGCAATTACATCTCACCTCCAGTGTGGCTGTACTTTAACAGTGGCAAAGTGAATTCTTTAACAGCTTGGAATCATCTAGGGATCCTGGCACTTGTAAAAATTTACCTAGTAAATGCTGATATCCTGTATATATAAAAGGTAACTTGAAAAAATTGTTGCAATGGAACTTAAAAGACTCTGTTCAGCTTCTAGCATGGGGAACAGGGTTCAGCTCCATATGACTCATAGAAAATGAAGGCATTACCTTCATTCATGCAAATTCAAATATCAATTTGAAAAACAGTATTTAAAATTTATACTTAACTTCCGGCCTTTTACTTATGGATTGATTAAGACTATGAGTATTAACAAAGAGTTCTGCTCTTATCTGGCCTGCTGGCACCATGGGTAATTGATCCAACAGGCAGAGTTGTAGCACTGCACCCGATTTTCTGCTTTGTCAGGGAAAATAAAGAGAATGGTAGCTCCCTGAAATCCAGACTCGATGCAGTTGCAAAGGGGCAGTAAAAATCATTACTAGTGACACTTTTAGATGGAATTGTAACTGGGAGAATTGGTCCTATATTCCCTCATAACCTAGACATTCATTTCTGCTTCCACCTCACCCTCCCCTTTGTTCCACAAGCAGCTTTACTGCAAACCGTATCAGCAAACTAATCCAGTTTAAAACTAAATGCTAGAGGTATTTTTGCTGTTAGTTTTAATGCAGATCAGTTCCACAGACCACTTCAAAAGGCATGGTAATGCACGGAAGAAGCACAGGAGCAAAAACATTAGCAAAAAGTGAACACAGTGTTCAATGTTCAAAAAAAAAAAAAAAGCTGTGTTCAATGGCAGCACTGGCTTCAAAACTGTAACATGAAGTCACAATTATATAACAGTGATGCAAATCTGCCTTGCCACAGCGAGGGATACTCCTGCCTTACCTCATCTCTGGCCATGTATTTTTGCCACTTACTTGTACTGGTATTAGTATTCCTATGCTTACACAGTTGAGTATGCCAAAGTAACTTCCTCAAAAAAGCAGCAAAAATACCCCTAAAAAAAATCCAATCCCCGAAGTAAAACTGGATCTTGCTCACTGTGCAGCTGCTGGAGCACTACTATCAACACAAGCAGGCAGTGGGAACACGAGCCTAACCATGGGCAGGACTGCAGTAGTCTAGATTTAGATTGGATTAAACTACTCTGTAGTCACACCCTGAACTGCCTGCTGCTGGAATAAATAACTGCTATCTATCTCACATCCAGAACTCCTTGCAGTTAGAAAAACTGGCTCCTTTTCCTGCTTTTCCTTCACAGGCATCAATATTTATCAGGGAATTTGCCAACTGTTCCTTGTCATTTACCCTTCTCCCTACATCCATTCAAACCAAAACCAACAAACAACCCCAACAACCCTAAAATAAAACAACACCCAAAACAAATATCCCGACTACTTTAATGAGGCTTAATTATGCTGTATCCATAAAGCAGCTGGAACATATTCAGGCCAAAGTTAACAACTCTGATCTTTAGACACTGACACTCTAGATCCTACTCATTAGATCCTAAAGACTTTCACAATTTAACAGCAATATGTAGTCAGAACAGATGCAGCAATACAAAATGTTGCATTTATTGTAACAGGGACAGAATTAGAGAGAGATTAGCTCCAGAGTTTGTTTGGTGAGGGGGGGCAAATGTGAGTACCTGTGAATGTTGAGTTGCCAGAGCTATGGCAGTAAGAACTAGAATTTCATCTCTGAGTGAACACTTTAAAGCAACTGGTTATAACGAACATTGTAAGACAAACTTTTAAGTAAACAAATCCAATGAAACCTGCAGATGCTTGTGAAATGCTTGCTTCAAATGAGAAACATTTTGCTGACACAGGTGGAAAAAAACCCCCAACAAACAGTAATATGAATTTTCTGTGAGTCAAATGCCAAAAGAGCCCCAACACAAAGATTAGCAACATACTGCTGCATACATCCTGAAATCCCAGCTCCACAGATCACGGAGGAGGCACATTCTGAGTTTTTCATAGTGCCTCAAAAAACACCTTAAATTCTGAAGAAAGAAAGTTTTAGCTAACCATGTGTATATACACATTCATACACATGCCTACCTCTCATAGGTTTACATGAGAACACAAATGTTATCCAGAAGCAACTACTTCGCTACATATTTCTGCTTTCAAAACAGCTTCTTCGATGGAAATATTTTGCAAGTTACACTGCCATCATCTCGGGACCTGGAAACCTGTTGAGGTAATAATTTGTGAGAGACTGAGCGCTCACTGCACTTCGGTATTTGGTGTTTCAGTTTTGGTTTGTTTTTTTTGTTTTGTTTTTTTTTTTTTTTCTCCGTCGAATGGACGACTTTCCCGCTTTGCCCGGCTTCGGGAAGATGCGGAAACCCCTAGAGCCGGCAAGTGCCCCTACTGCCGCACCAGAGTTACGGCTCAGAGGGCGGGTAGCCCCCACACGCGGGGAAGCAGCCGGTGATCGCCGCGGCGCTGGAGTTACCCCCCGCTCCGCCGCTGCCATCCCTGCAGGCATCACACCGCTTCCTGCTCCGCCGCCTGCCGCCAATCGCCCCCGCTGCCCTCCCGGAGCGGCGCGGGGAGGGTCCTATTCCTGCCCCGGCCCTCCCGCGGGCACCGACAGCACCTACGCGCGCAAACTACGCGACCCCTGCCCCGCTCCCGAAGCCGGGCGGAACAGCGCCAAAGGGGGAATCGGCGTCGGGAACGGGCGGGGAATCCGCGGCCAGCGCCACGGCCCGCACTCCATCTCCTGGACCGAGCTCCCGGCACCCCCGCGGGACGGAGAAGAGCGGCTTACAAGGGGATCAGACTTACGAGCGCCTCACGAAGCCCTCGGCCTCCTGCTCCTGCCTGAGCACCCTAACCCAGGAACCAGAACCAACTTCCTGTTATGCCACTCCCCGCCCTGTGACGGGGCCACGGTGCTGCCCGCGCGCCGGTCAGGTCAGGTCAGGTCAGGTCAGGTCAGGTCAGGTCACGTAGGGTCAGGGCAGCGGCAGGGGCAGCGGCAGCGCCGGGCTGCCCGGCCAGGCCCGGCGCTCCCCGCCGCCGAGGCAGCACAACGCTAGCCTCTCCTGCTCCGCGTAAGGATGAGCGTCTCGGCTCTCCTCATCTGTCCTGCAGTGCCTTTTCTGACTTGCTGCAGCCGAGCACCCCCCTCAGGCAGGGGCTGCACTGCTGATTCCTAAAGACCCTTTCCTATTCCAGGCTTTCCCTGATTCAGCGTGATTTGTAAATAACAATGTTTATGTTTGTAACATAATTACGCTTTTCATGCCCGGAGTACTTTCTGATTAAAGGGTCTTTTGTAGGTTACTAAGGTGGCATTTCTCCCTTCACTGCATTTAATTCGTATAGGCAATGGATTTTATATATAAGAATGTAATGGAAACACAGAGTTTTAATTTTTCTCCTGCTACAAGCCCTTCTCTCTTTAGGTCACATGTATGAGTACAACGTTTTTCCTGAAGGTGTGTAGGAGGTGGGAGTTGGTGGGAGAAAATGAGGCGTTTCTTACGTACTTGCACAGGGTGCAGTCACAGAGCTAGTGGCAGAGAAGCATTACAGATTTTGAATTGGCCTCAGCCATCTCTGAACCCTGGTGAACATACCCACGCAGCCAGGCTGTGGTGTTCCTTCTGCTAGAGCAGAACTTTCCCCTTTGCACACTCACAGATCAGAACCTGCATTTCAACCTTACCTACCCTGGGTGTGTGCCCTTTGAAGCCCGTGGACTGAGCCTGAACATAGCCACAGGAAGGCCAGGCACTGTTCTCTGTGCTCTTTTGAAAGTTATTTCTATTATAATTTAGCTTTCCTGCTAAGTCTTTAACAACCTTTTTGGTACGTTTTGGTCTGTACTAAGATTAAAGAGACTTACAGGCAGGTAGTTTGATGGGCCAATAAATATACTTCCTGGTTAGCCACTGTCAAGAGCTTCAGGTGAGGTTTCAATGAACTGTTAAGGTTTGGAGAGGGTTTACTGTGTTAGCGTGTCTACAAAAAAGGAGGGATTCAATTTCCTCTTTTAGAGACAGAGTGTTTGAGACATTCAGGTTTCATTCAATCAGTTTTTAGTGTTTTGTTTGGTTTTTTTTTTGTGTGTGTTTTTTTTTAAGGTAAAAAGAAGCTATTGCTGCTTCTTTTTTAATTTTTACATTTTAAATTCTTATTCAATCCTGTCAAGAAGTTCTGTGCTTAAAATGGTAATGGCTATCTCAGTAATTGAAATAAAACGTGCAATTCTTAAATTCTTAAATTCAGGTCAATGCGTGTAAATATAATTTAACTGTGCATTTAAAAAGGGATAATATGCAGAAAAGTAAAAGTAGGTGTTATCTGCTGATAAACATTTATCAACTAAGATTATGGCTACCTGAATTTGAGTAGAGCCATAACACAAATGCCAACTCCAAAACACTATAATTGCATGCTATAAGAAACAAAAGTTTGTTTATTAAATTCTAGAAATGTACTTAATGTAAATTTTCAGTGAAAGTCTCAAACCTGACAAAACAAAACTGGCAACAATATATAAACATGACTTTTCAAATCACATGTATTATTCTCTTAGTACTTTATCCGTAATATTCCTTCACAATAAAGAACAAGAGAATCTGGTCATTTCTCTATCTTCACTATTTAGAGCGTTTTTATTTACACTTCCTTCCCAAATACAAAAAGACGTATGCTACAAGCTTTACAGTAACCCACCCTGACATTCTTAGAGACTTCCAACCCTTTGAATAAATTGTTACATAGAAGAAAGAAAAATACCTGTGAAAATAATATAAACTTTATATTGTGTAGCTAACCCGATCTCTAAACTCTTAGAGTGGTTTCTGCTTTACAATCAGTTACTTTTTGTCCTTGTCTTCCTCATTTTGCTTTCTTTTTCTTTGTTTTTCTGCTCTCACCTTTTTAGCTTTCCTTCCCTACAGCTATTCCAGTAATGACTTTCTGTCTCACATCAGTATTTCACATTTTTATGTCATTGTTAAGGCAGAATTGCTTTCCTGTATGTAGTCTTCACAAGATAACTGGGAAGAACAAGTATGTATCAGCATAGTTAAAAATTATTTATAGTTAGGAATCTAGTAATCTTAAAAACAGCTGCAAACCAGCTGAGTTCGGGAGTGAAGGCATACATTATTTTATTTCACTTTATCTTCAGACTATGAGAGAGTCTTATTTTGATAAGTATAATTAGAAACTTTTTTCTTTTTTTTTTTTTTTTTTGGGGGGGGGTGGGGGGAGAAGTAACGAGTTGGTACCTTTACAGAGTGAAAATGTGAAAGTTTGCTCTGAGTGAGTCAAACAGTTATTTAAATACCTCACATCATCTGTACAGTTTACTGATTGACTTTACTCCTGAAATGGTATTTTAACGGGAATTTTGCCTAGTCTTTACTGATGTGTTAATCAGTGTGCTGATTGCTCTTAAGGTAGGCTTGAGCCTAGCAGCTCCCAGAAGGCTGTGTTTTCAGTAAAGCTTTGAATCTGATCCCTGTCTCTACAATTTTAAGCTTATAGGTACAAATTGGCTTCTACCAGCTGTCAGAAAGGTTAAAATGTTTCCTTTAACTTCTTAATGTCGCCATTCGTTCAGACACTAGGTGGCTCACGTCAGATGTTCAAACCTTTTCCAGAACTTTTAAACCGTGGTCCCAAGGGACTGTGTGGAAGGGTGCTGGATCCTGAGAGTCTGTACTACTTTATGGCGTACGCAAGATACACCATAAAGTGTCTCTGTTCTTTCAAGATCTTGTTGTTGCTTTTGTTTCAACGAAATAAAAAGCATATTTTTCTCTTGAAATGCCTTTTCTAGTCAGAAAAGGAGAATTGTGTATCAATTTAGACCAAATGTCTCTGTCCCCATGGTAAGAAGGAAGGTGAGGCTGTGAGGCTGAATCTTCTTTCTTTTTCTCCAACAGCAAGAACAGTTAGTTGATGAGTCTGCGAAAACCTTAGTACATGCAGTGCAAATCAGGCATGTATTTTGCCTGTCGTTTGTAATAACAGACAAAACCTGGGTTCCAGAAGCTAACTAAAGAATATGAAATCAAAATGCAGATATACAGACTTGGTGCATTATAAGCAGCATAAAGTAGTGTTAGCAAAATCATGAAGTTTTTAGCTCATCTTGTAATTTTTATATATCTGAATGCTGAAGTTTATAATTTGCTCTTTCCAAAATGTAGAAACCAAAGGTTTGGATTTTCTTTTCTCATCTCTTTAGTAACAGTATAGGCAATTTTTATGTTGCCTGGGAAGAGTGTCAACAGTATTATGAAATGCGGTTCTGTACTTGAGTACCACTTATGACTAATATTAGCTGGGAACTTCCACTCAGAAATACCCAACTGAGGAACTTCCTTAAATGCAACTGCAAGCAGACAATCATTCTCTGAAGCAGAAACTTTAGCAGAAACAGGCTGCAAACTGGCTTTGAATCCAGTGCAGCATTCCTTATTTTTGTAAGTGATACCCATGATTTCTGGAGGCTCATTACCCTGGGAAAAGGTTACCCTCCATGAAAAGGGATTAATGTATAAAAAGGCAACTCTGCATGCTTGGATACATAGCAACTATTGTACTGAATATAATACATACCTTTTAAGTATGTGAAGAAAAAGCCTGTGTTGGTAATGACACCACCAGAAAGCAGCAACAGCTTTGTAGAACTAATGCTATTCATCTATATAGAACATAATCTGTGTTACATATAGAGAGAGTGCTACAAGATGGAGGGTGAAATACTTCTGAGAGAATAGCCAACCGACTGATTCTTAGCTAAGCTCCAAAGGAACTTAATTGTGCAGACCCTTGAGCTCTGTTTGAGTTTTATCCTTATAGTGTATTTTCCCCTTTTCCCCCAAACCACTGTGTAGTGAAACTGAATTTCTGTAGAAAAACATAGGGAAAACACTTACCTTGGAAATTCATTTTCTCTAAAATCGGTGCCTTTTTTTTTGCCATAGAGACAAGTGCTCAGGAGATTTTACACATAAGCATTGATTCGTTAGACCTGTCAGTGTGAAAAAGTGAGATATTTTGATATCAAGTACGTTACATGGGCCTTCTCCTTCTGTTCCTTGCTAAATTCAGTAAATCCTGGTAGGTGATTTAGATAGAGCTATATTATATTCAGTTTCTAATTTAAGAAAACATGATTGATATAAGGAGCCTTTGCAGTATTTGTTGAATGTTGTTTGATTTCAAGCCTTTATTCAGGCTGCTAGTGTGGAGTAAGAGCGGATGAAGGCAAAGAGGAGTTGCATTTGAAATAACACATTTAATTTCTAGGGTCTTATGACCTCTTTTCCTCTTCTGCAAAAAGGGGAGCTCTGTGGTGCAGGATTATCACAGATGCAATGGTATTATTTTTGTTTCTGTAGTCTCATAAAATTCCAAAGTTTGAGGAAAAGGAAGAGATGTGTTGATGCAAAGTCATTAAGTTAACGGACCTGTGTCAATATACCTATGGAACCTCTTGTCAAAACTGCTTAGGATGTGAACATCTGGGATGTGTTCAAGGGGAGATTGGACAAGTTAATACTTGAGAGATTCACTGTGGGAAACTAAGAAGACAGGCAGCACCAATCTCAGGAATTTCTCTGACCTGAAAATAGCTGGCAGCTGGAAGAAGATTCTGAGGAAGTATTACATATGCTTGCCCTGTTCTTATTCTTCCCAGGGCATTGATTTCTAGCCACTGCTGAAGAGAAGATGGGTCTGAACCAATGTGGCATATGTTCTTATGTTAATGACTTCATGCTGATAAAAATGTGTAGGAATTCCTCTATGTTAAACGATCTCCTGTAAAAGACAGGATACTGTAGAAGGATAAGGAACATTAGTAATGCAGAAGCTCCAAGAGATCTTGGAACATCCATTCAGAATTATTTCTTATTGTTTTAGAATATTCATTTGAAATATAAAACCCTTGAGCAGGTTTATTAAAGGTAACCGGTGAATTTTATCTGATTCCTGAAAAGGCACTGTGAATAGTTCAACTATATTTACAGTTAAATTCTGATGATCTGAAGATCAGCTGCATAATATCACGGCTTTCATTGTTAGAAATCAATCTAACTGCACACAAAGTTTAACAGAAGATATGCCTGTGTAAATACACAGCAAGGCAATCTTCTTCATTAGTGGATTGTAAACAGCTCTTGAGAAAAAGGCCTCACAAAGAGTAATGGTTAGAGATTGGTGCTGGTGACAGCATCTAACCATTTAATGCAGTTACATTTAGTGCAGAAGTTTTGAACTGGGTCTCCATATACACCAGTAAATGTTACCCTAGTTAAAACCTGTACAAGGAAATAAACTTTCCATGCTTCCTCCTGAAGTAAAATTTATAGGGAAAGCTAGTAAAATGCTTTGAATCTGTTTCACTTTTTAAGGAAAACAAAACTTCCCTTTAATTATTTTTACAAGATGATAAAGCAACTGAAAATACATCTGTAAATTCCTCAACACGTGGAGTTGGTATACTTCCTTTCAACATTTTTTGGTTGTATGTTATAGTAGAATTTGGAAAGAAATAGCTCTGTTTCCCTGCACAGTGAAAAAAATACTTTGGAATTATTCAACCCTGCAGTCTTGCTGATATAGTTGTTTCAGCTCTCTGTGTTAATTTTAAAGTTATTTTATAAGTGAAAAGATACCTTTGTGACTTCAATATGGTGCTTTTCTTGATTCTTACTCATGGTCATCCTATGAGAGTTTGGTGGGTCTAAGGCTTGACTAATTAGGCTGTGTAAGACAAAATAAGATGTTCAGATGAGTGTTTCTGTAAATTTTACCATGTACAATTACAGTTACTTTCTGTAACCACGTAAACAAAAAAGATTTAAGCCATCATTGAGCAGTCAGGCTACTCAAGTTTTAGCTAAAATTTCTTGATACCTACATGTACCAAAGATAAATCAGCAGCTGTGCCTGCTGAATTTTATGGAAAATCTTTCCCACCTTTAAGCAAATAAAGCTTGAAGCTATGTGTTGTGTAGAGGCTTACTGCGGATTGACACTGTGCTTGCTTGAGTACAGCATCATTGCCTAAGAGGACTAAATGATAAACAAAAATACCAGGCATCTTCTTGCAAGTGATATTTATTCTTACCATGCTGTAAACAGGAATATGTGTACTAAAAATAAAAGAAAAAAAAGAATAAAAAAAAAAAGGATAATTTATTGTGTGCTCTCAGTTCTAATACAGAAAGCACATCACTGGTAATAGCTCTGACTTTCTGAAAGAGCTGTCACACTTCAAGATTTATTCCTGGTAAAGCAGGGAGAGAAACACATGATCAATGGGTTTGGGCCTTTTTGCATAATTAGTGGCAAAACGTGTGCGTGCACGCACACACACACACACACACTAACTTACTTTTTCTGGCACAGCTTCAGTCATCTTTTACACCAGCTGCTAAGTCATTTTCAAATCTGTAGCTGCTTCCTCTGAGTGAAAACACACCTGCTCTTCTAGCATTGTACCCATTTATTGTTGGCTTCCTGGAAGCAAAAGATGTAAGAGAATTTTGGCTTGTATTAGAGATCTGAATAAGCATGGGATAACTCCAAACTGCCATACTCCTGTAGTGCTATTGTATGTTACTTTGTCTGTATTAATTACCATTTCCCTTCAGTAGATACACATTGAAGGCCTAGAAAAAAATGTTCTAAGTGGCATTTTTCTCACATTATTTTCTGTCTATACCATTCAGAAATATTCTTATTTGAGTAGGTTTTGACCATTGCTATACTGTTAGCATACACCTGCCACTGCTCTTATATTGCACTGCAACCAGTTCATTGTGTGTTGAATCCAATGGTAGAATTCTACACAGAAAAACTGAAAAATTCTTCCCTGCAACAGCGAGTAACAACTGCACTGCAGATCACAAAAGGGAGATCAGGAAAGAAATTAAAAAAGGCAGCTCTTCATATGGGTAATAAACCCAGGAAAGATAAAGTGTTAGATGTCATGTTAGTTGGGAATAAGAAAACAAAGTACCAGAGGCCCTCCTTCCCTAGTGCCTGGCTTTACCTTCCCATCCATACTCTGAAGTACAGCCAAACTGGTAGCTGTCTCTAAAGCTCTCTTTTAGACTATTTGATCTACACTATAGCCTGCGCCTTTTCATAAGGGACCTTAAGTTTCTTCAAATTATTCAGAGGCAATGGGCTGATATTTTACTACCAGTACAACCTCTGATAGATTTGTGTCTTCTATATACTCCTGCTTTGTTGAACAGACAGTAGAGTAGCTACAGACAAGAATCACAAACAGAATTTAGTGTCATGGTACGAGTGTACCGTACTTACAGCCTCTGGTACATAACTTCTTTCCTACACAGAGGATTTAGGTTGTTGACAAGCTTTAAGTAGAGCTGCTGCCTCTGGGTAATACTCTGTAGTCCTAAATCCTTTCTAGTCGTGTCTCTTGGAGATGAAAATTCAATTTTGCATGGACTATTTAGGGCAGAAGACATAGATTATAGTTCTCCAGTCTCAGAGCTATAACAAACCTTGGGTTCTAGCCTCCATTCTAACAATGTTTATATGTTTTATGGCACAGTAAGTAGTAGGTCATTCCCATGTTGCTTTTGACAATCGCCTTTACTGACTGATTTTCTATTTTACTGATGCCTAGAACCAGCCCTCTGAAGATACCATCCTTGCCAAAGGCAGCATCAGCTTTACCTAAACCATTTCTAACATATGTTTGCCTGTTTTGAAGATCTATATTGGTGATAAAGATTTCACAGCCTCCCAAGGGACCTTCTGTTCTTTCTTACAGATTTTTTTTTCTAAATCTCTAATTATTCTTCAGTTGAACCACATTTTCCACAAGGTACAATGAACAAACTGGACAATATGCTCCAGCTGAGATTTTCCACCATAGTTTTCAAGAAATACATGCTGCCTGTTTTATGTCCTTGAAACAGGACAAAACCTTAGGCTTTTAGACAAACTTGTTCAATTATTTGCTCCAGTGTTTTTCTCAGAATGGAAGTAAAACAGAACAGTATGTAATTCCCTAGTTTCTTCTGTTCTTTCCTCTTAAGATAAACATGATGTCTGTCCATTTTCATTCTTTTAGAAGTTCTCCACAAGTTCTCAAAGATCACTGCTAATGGCTCCAAAATGTCTTTATTCTGTTCTTGAAGTTTTCTGAGAGGGATTTCTTCAAGCCCAGCTCATTTGAAAATGTTTTATGCAAGCTATAATTCTAGCCTGTATTCTCTCCTTTTGTCACTGATACTAATTATTTTAGCCAGCTGACTGAGGTTGACCCTTCCAGTGAAGAAAAACTGAAAAAGGTATCAGCCTTTTCAGCATCATCTAATAGTTTCTCTCCACTGACTAGCAGAGTTATTCCCTTTGACTTTGTCTTGCAACAGATGTATTACCAGAATACATCTTTATTCTGCCTTACTCTTGATCTCATTTTGTGCCTTGCCTTTTTTGATTTTACATCTTTTTTACATTGTTGTATTATTCTTTTACACTCTTCAGAATTTAACTGAGAGCATAGAAAGTAGAACCTTTAATGAGCTTAAGGTAGTTAAAAAAATCTCACTGTTGTTTAGCATGTTGGGATTTTTTTAAAGCACATTTCTTATTTTGTCCCAAGCACTGGGGTGGTTTGAGTTATCTCCTCTTTTTCTAAAGGAGACGGAAAATCTCCTGATCTTCCCCCCCCCCCCCCCCCCCCGAGCATACTGGATTTAGACACTTAAAATGTCTGTATAGATCTAGTCCTGGCCAATTTGCAAGGCGTCACACTGTACATTTATGTTAGAGATGGGTCTGAAGCACAGAAATATCTTGTTCACATCAGTGGCTTCTGATTCCTGGCTGATTTTTGACCTGATTAAAGCAGGATGATTTGGTTACTATTTGATTTGGGTAAGTTTATTTTATGCTAGCAAATTGCCTTACTTACCAGTCCTTCTTTGCATGCCCTTTATTATTCTTTTTATTTCTACATTGTCTTGGGGAAAAAAAAAAAAAAGGAATAAAGAAAAAAGTTTCAGTATGTATTTTTCCCATCTGGTTAGTCCAGCACTCTTCTTAATTAGTAAAATGCCATCCTGTCAGATTCTCTCCTGCCAGGAAGTCATTCAGCTACCAAATCACTTCTTCACCTCCATCATATATTTTAACATTTGAAAACAGCAAAACTGTAAGATATCATACTTTTCCTTGCAACAGAAAAAGCAAAGTCAACTACAGCAATGCTAATTAAGTGTAGTTTAGGATTAATTTGAATTTAAACCAGGCCGCATGGGATTTCAGAGCGTGTACCCGGAGTGTCATAAAATATGTAACAGCACTTCTCAATTAACATTCATTTAGTTGTGAACAATAAAAAGCAGCATAAATAGGCACAACCTGTTCCTTACTCTTTCCCCAGTAGTTTATGCTCTGCTCAGACAGATTTCATTATTCCAAAGGCCAGTCTACAGTAGCAGATCAAGTATCACAGTATTCCATTTCTTGAGTCTTCAACATCTTTCTCCATTATAAAGCCACTTCATGACAATGTACTATTAGTTCATAAGGCTGATATTTGAATACATCAATTATGTTGCAAAACCACAATTGCTGTGTTTTTTTTTCCATTGTGCCAAATGGAATCCCAGCCATTTTAAGATTTCTTCATGGTTTAATTAATTTATTTTTAAAATTCAACACAAATATTTGTCAGTCAATACCATTGTAGTGATTTTGAATAACAAGGTTAATAAAATTGTAAAATTAAGTGTTCTTTCAAGAGGACAGTCTCAAGGAGAAACCTGAACTACATCTATATTTGCAATATATGAACATATGTGACTAGTTTGTAAGCAATTAGGAAATAGGAGAAAAATACAAAGTTACAAACTTTCATGGACAATTTTTGCAGAATTTGATGAAAAGGAATTCAATAGGAGAAAATTCTGTATATTCATATCATTTATCAGGTATAACATTTTTCTACCTTTGTTACTTTTTTGGTAACTGCCACAGTATATGTCATATAAATCTGTTTCTCTTAGATACTGTAGGAATTTTTGCTTTTACATGGAAGTAATTTGAAAATAAATATTATCTATAATTACTCCAGCTGGTTATTTCTCCCAGAATATTTCTGCGTTATTCTGACTCTCCTGCAGTGTGGGCTTTTCTACGTTTTCTGGCCACCTGACAGGTGTGCTGAGGTGAGCTTTAAATAAAATGGAGCAGAATTAAGAAGGGTGAATCTTCTGTGCATAGAACTTGCTTCCTTAGGCATCCATTTCTAGTTGCTGTTGGAGTCTCTGAATCAATAAGGGCATTCTTATGCAGCAACTCCTACTTATGTGGAAATAAGCAAGGAAAGACTAGGTGATTGTGGCTTAGCACTGGGTACCATTGGCTCTATAGATGTGACTGTTCCAAGGTATGAGAAAGCTGGGTAAGCTCACCATATAGAGATATCAGGTTTTAGGTTTTACCACTAGAGGCCCATGAGAGAATGAAAGCAATTATGGGTTTTCTTCCATCACGTTAGCTTGTGAGAAGTGTTTTGTGCTAGTTGAACAATACAAATTCTCTTTGAGTAAAGACTATGTCCATAGTGTGCAGCCAGGCTAAAATGTTTTGCAAATCTAATACAAAATGTAATAATAGTTCACCATAATTCTTATTTATGCAACTAAATTTATAAATAAATTCTTATTTATGCAACTTCTTATTTATGCAACTAAAGAAACTGACTATACACAGGCATCACTTCAGTACTCCAGCAAATCTTTCTTCTTGCTCCCAGCAACATAGCTGTACAAGGTTTCAGCATTTCAGCCAGTAGCAGAAACCCTGTAGATATTCCTCGGTTCCCTGAAGCTCACCCCAGCATACTTACACTGTTCTCTCAGACTGGATTCACTCCAAGAAAGAAGTATAGCAAAGCCAGTATTTTAGAACATGGAAACAACCTCTGCCCAACTGGTCTTTACTAATCGCTGTCTCTTTGGACAGCATTTTGCTTCCCTAAGTGTTTGTCAAATATGTGCCCCAGGCATGCATATTTGAACAATACAGTTTTATTTGGGTATTGAATAACATACTACATCTCATTAGCAATAAGCTGCTTTTTCTGACAGAACATAAGACTTATTAAACATGACTGTTGGGTTCATTCAGTGTCTAAACAGGACCTTGCTGCAAATCCCAATCTACTTGAGAAGACATACAGTAAAATGCCATGGGTAATACCTCATTATATCATTTGGAATAATGTTAATAAACAGCAATAATGAATTTTTTGGCCTCTTTTCTATGAAAAAAATAAGACCGTAAAGTCTCACACTACAGGAAAAAAACAGTAACTGACAAGAGGTTAAGATGGGTTTACAGTATGATGAAAAACGTTAATTATGGAGAGATGTCAGACACCAATTATTTCATCTATAATAGTACTGTTCTGTTACATTGTAAATACAGCTTTCACTCCTATTCCTGTCTTTGGCAGCCAATTAATATGCGAAGTATCTTAGGAAGGGTCCTGTGTATTCAGAATTCTTTTCCAGCAGAACTGAGGAATGCAAGGTAAAGCTTCCTTTCTCTTAGCCAGACACTGATTGCCTTTCAGCATGCATTGGTCTCTCTGTTTGTTCTTTCTCCCCCAGAATTATTTCCATTCCTTCTAGATCCTCCTGTCTTCATTCTCCGCTGCATCTGCATGGCTTGCAAAGTTTTGCAGTTTTTGCTCTGCCTTTGCCCAGGTTCCACCAACTCTCTCTAACTCAGCTACTCTTTCCTATGTCTTTTCTTATACCTCAGAAACCTTCCATCCTTTCAATTCTATGGCCACCATGACTTTTTCCAGTTAAATACTTGTTCACAATGGCTTGCATGTGTCTCTAGCATAGGTACTCCGGCATGACAAACACCAGCCCCACAGACTAGTAGCAAAAAGAATCCTCAGCAGTTTTGATAAGGAAACAAGAATTCATTAGAAAAATACATGAAGAGGAAGACTGGTAGAAAAAGTAATATGGAAAGCAGGAATTCATCTGCCCTGAAAGAGGTGACCAAGGACGAAGAAAACGTTGCTATAACAAGGGATTCATAGGTACAGACTGAGATATATGTGGTGAGATGATCTGTACTTAGATGATGAATCTGAGTTTTCAACAGTAACCTGGAAGGAGCCATGGCTGTTGTCAGCTTTGAGTTATTTCTAAAGAGCAACTGCAGTTGTAAAAAATACTATTTGCCAAGATGCAGGCTTGCTCATGACTAAGAATAACAAAGGACACTGGATTATGGAAAATTAAACCAGAAGAGTCTTAAAGCAAATTCTAGCAGTATTTAGAAGGTAAAAGAGAGGACTACTTGGATTCCAGCCTGTGTAGTCCTAGTTACCTGTCTGCTTGTCCTTATCTTTTCCATGGCATGCAAATTTTTCACTGTCCAATCTCACCCTCTTCGCAAAATTCAGGGTAACGTTCAGACTGAATCTTTAAAACCATACTGCATTCAGAGTAGATTGGGTTTTTAACCAAATTGTTCTTGTTGTTTAAACCAGTGAGTTTTCAAAACAAACTGACTTGAAAGCAAACATCTATCTGCAGTCTTTGGATGTCTGAAGGCCCTACAAATGTCAGCCTGGCAGAAAGGGGGTAGTGAATATACAATAATTGTATTACCAGATTTATTTATTTTATCAGATTTATTTCTCTTCCTTATCTCCATCCCTATTTCATTTTGACATCTGAAAGTGTTTGGCATCAGGGTAATGTTAACCCCCCCCCCCCCCCCCCCCAACAAACAGCTTGCATAAGATTGATTGAACTGCTTCTGAGAAAACAAGAACTGACTTGAACTTTTTTTTCTGATTGAAAAATATGGCATTTACCGGAAGCTTATCCAGCTCTTCTGGGATTTCTCCCATCTGTGCTGCAGGTACCATTTCCCTATTATTTTTATCTTTCTGTTGCTAACGCTTGAAGATGAGCATGCATACGTTGCTAGTAAGCATGTCTCAGCTAGCAGCTACATAAATAATACAAAGAATAAAAATAGGTTACTGGAAAATAACTAGTATTTAAAAGATTTGAAATGCTGTGAAATGCAAAAGGTGTTTTGGGAAATTATTAAAAATGCTGTCCTCTCATGACCTTCATTTTACTATTTTTTATACGTGTGTTTCATAAAACAGCATGATTCATTAAATGCATAGTTTGGCATTTGGGTTCACCTTATGTTTTTGAATATCAAAATGACAGAGATTCCACCTCAGCAGTTTTTTCTTATAACATACTTTGGATAGAACCTTACAGATGGTGCTTCTTGATTGCTCACAAATTCAGGTTTGTAGTTTTCCAAATAATTCTCTGAAGTCATCTAACGGATGATTTCAAGATTTTGTGTCTGGTCATTGAGGTGATGGTGAACTTCCAGATGAATCACAGAGTTGTTTAATCATAAGGAATAACGCAGAGCCCTGTAAGTTTTATTTGTGGAATCTATTCTCAAATTAATCAGATTTTGCAACTTTACGGTTTTGTAACTGGGATTATCCCTTATCTATTAATAAATTTACAGATCATACCTACCCATTTACAATCCCATAACTTTGGCAATTCAAGCACAAAAAAGAAAGTGTGTTGGAGCTGTGAGCATGGACAGGCTATCAAGGACTATTGAAACATTGCTTGGACATGCAAGGATGCAATTAGGAAGACCAGAGCTGAGCTACAGCTGAAACTGAAAGGGATGGGAACAAGAAAAAAAAAAACGCAAGCCAAACAAACTTGTGTGAGTATGCTAGCAGCAGAAGGAAGACATGGGAAAATACTGCCCTTTGATGAATGGGGCAAGAAATCTAATAATAAAGATGAAGTTCAACACCACTGCTGTCTTTGCTTCTGCAAGGTCTGCTGTCAGGCCTCACATATCCCTGTTCCTAGCAGCAAAGTTCGAGGGAGAAAATTTGTGTCCACAGCAGACAATTAAATCAGAATC